AGCTGGTACATGAACGACTTGATAGTGGCTGGGTCGAGAGCACCTCGGTCGCCGCGTGAGTCCATGTACCTCTTGAGATCCTTGTCCATGAATTCAAAGACGAGCATAAGCTTGTTCTCGGTGTGTATGACATCGTGCAGCAGGACAATGTTCTCGTGGCGCAGCTCCTTCATAAGGGAGATTTCACGAATAGCTGTAGAGGGTGTACCCTCTTCCGAGTCGAGGTGAATCTCCTTGAGGGCGACGAGTTCGCCCGTCTGGCGGTTGCGGCCTTTGAAGACCTGGGCGAGTTAGCATAGGCGTTCGAGAGCGGGTGGCGCATGGTATAGTGGCGGCCTACCGTGGCATAGGTGCCTTCTCCAAGCTTCTCGAGCTGCTGGAAAGAGCTGGGGTGTCTTCGGTTATCCATAGTGGGCACGATGGGCGTAGTGTCGCCGTTGGCGTCACCGTCGCCGAGGTTGCGGACGCTGATGGACGAGTCTGTGCGGTGCGGGGGGACGAGAGTGCCTGCGTGGACGGGGTGGAGGCTGCCCGGAGGCGCTCGCGATGTAAACTTGGGATCCCAGAGGATGGCCGAGGCCGTTGTCAGTTGGCTAGCAATGCGCAGTGACGAAGAAGAGCAAGAGGAGCGGGCAGCGTCGGGGGCTGGGGCTGGAGGCGCCGTCTTGACAGCGTGCAGCGGGTGTGGGGAAAAAAGAAGAAAGGACGCGGATAAGGATGAGTGGCGAGAGCTGCTAAAGAAGGGCCGGAAGACGATAACAACAGCGAGGGAAATTCGTCTTTACTATTGGAATACAGTGACACGACTCGATCTAGCAAACGCGACGGGGACTGGTGGGGCACAGAGGGCACCGAGAATATACAGCCGCTGAAGAGGGCGCCTACTTGGCCTCTCAACTGCCGCCTCTGCATCGCCATTACTTCAACATCATCGTCAGGGCAGGCGGCAAGCTATTATTGTCTCTGTGAATGGCTGATCCAAATAACACAGTACTTCATATCGTTGTGCTATTCGTCATTGGCACGTATCCACCATTAGGGCAGATCAAACACTTTCATTGCCACGTGACTCATCAAACATCACCTTCAAGCTACTGACCCCCAATCTTGCTCTTCACCCACTCAGGCACCGCTGGACGCTTCCCCCAGCCTGCCTTCCAACTCTCCCTCCATCCTTCCTTGCTCGCTGGCATTGCAAATACAGCGGTGACAAACCACACCGTCTCGCCCTGTTTGATATCTTTTTGCACAATCGGCAGCACAGTCCTGCTCTCGACAAGATTTGAGTTGGCGTCTGACAAAATGACACTACCCTGTCGGTCCTGCTGACATAGATCCACGATGCCCACAGCGCCCGTACGAGGCGAGGCTGCAAAAGCAGATGTGGCATCTGAAGCACCGCCCTCTGGTATCGAAGCATCAAGTGTGCGAAGCGTGCCGTTCCATTCAGTCAAGAGACGACCGTCAGACTCTCTCGCACCATATACAGCCCATGCTCCCTCTGCACTCTTGATATCCCGCCCTGACGTCACCCGATGCACCCTCAAATGCCAGTTTGGCGTCTCTTCGGCTGGCGGGATCAAATACGTCGAAACCTCAACATCGGGCCAAGGCTTCATGCTGCTAACCAACACCGGAACTCCGTCTATGTTTTCAATCTGAGAGTCTCCATTCAGTGCCCTCCTCATCTTCCACAGCTCCCCGCCATCATCAGAAAAGGCAATTTGTGACTCTGGCACGAATTGCTCCAGTTCTTGGTAACCCGTCGACACTGAGTATGCAAAGGCTGCACTGTAGGCAAACTTGCCGTACTTGGCGTTGCTGTTCTTAATGGCGTAGTGACACGATTGTCCGCTTGACAGCAGGAAAGTATGACCTCCAGACCGGCACACAATCTGCCGGGGGTGTGGGAGGGGACGCACCACACGTGTATTAGCAAATGGATGTGGTTCCTCCTTTGCACTCCAAAACGGGTGAGATTCTGGCATGGCCAGACAGGCAAACGCGAGCATGCACCAATAAGGTGATTGAGGCGAGTTGTAATTCTCAGCCAGGTAGTAGTTGGGGTACGAGTAGCCAACAGTGAGCATGCCGTTGGATTGGAAAATGTCGTGTTGGGTTGTCCACCACCGTAGATTTCGTAGCCAGATACCTTTGACTACGCCCCAGCTAAGGGGCTCAGGCAATTCGAGGTCAGCGAATGCAACAGCGCCCCAGAAGGCTACCATGGCCCAGCGGTATGTCAGTGAGCGACCAAACGTAATGGCACGACCTTCAGGATCGAAAAAGTGTATGAAGTCGAGAGCAAACATGCGGGCCCGCTTCTTGTACTCTTCGGTCTGCTCGGGGTCGATGTCTGCAGCCAGTTTCGAATAGAGAAGCTGGAGATACTGAATCGCAAAGGAGCTCGAGTAGTAATCCATCTGACGATATGTATCGGGACCATCGTTTGACCAGCCATCGCCGCGGTAGTATGTATTCAGCTGTTTGATATCTTTTTCCAGCTGTGATTTCGACCACTGAGCGCCATTCCTCTCAAGTCCTAGGTTGGCGAAGACGCGGAACCAAAGCCTATCAAACATCTCAACATCAATTGCAGTCACAAAATGGTCACCAACATTGATTTAAAAATAAAACAAAACAGAACAAAGCAATCGGGTCATCGTACCAGTTCGTATCCGGCATCTTCTTATCATTCATGCTCCCCAACCACGTCTCGACATTTTTCTTCTGCCGCTCCGTCAACGGCTCCCAAAATTCTTTGTTCGCAACCGCCAGCGTAAACCCAATCGGACACGCCTCCACCATGCGCTGATCGGTATCCTCCATGTATCCCCAGAACTCCGGGCTCTCAGGATCAGTCCCGGAAATCAGGCCTTGGACAAACTTGTCGGTAGCAGCGTACTTGCTGCCTCCAGCTAGTAGTGGCGCGAGACCCCATAGCGGACGCGCAAAGCCCTCGACTTGGGCGCCTGTCTCGTCAAAACGCGTGCCGGTACCGCCTACCTTGATCAAAGCATTTTGCGGCGAGAAACCGGGGAGAAGGGGGTCGAGGAGAGATGCTACAGCGTCCACAACATCATTGCGTGACTTGAAGGGATTCGTGGAGAAAGGATGGAGGTCAAAGGCCCGGTTATTGTTTGCCGTTGTGGCGCTCATTGTTCCGTCGCTATGATTGTCTTTTTTTCTCCTTACTCTATACAGTACGAGATGTAACAACTGGGCACACGTGACTCTCCTTCTTCTTTTTTTCCGCTTCCGTGAATGGCTGATACCTTTTGGTTCAAGGCCTAGACAGCTTGGGGGCTTTCTGCAAGGACGGGACACCAAGTGTCAGCGGTGAGTGGTGCAAACGTGCGTTGGAATGAGGCTTTGGTACAACAACGGCCCTTTGCACGGGTGCAAGAATGATGCGCTTGACTCGGATTCAAGTCGTCTGATCTTCTTGGCTGTAAGTATCCAGGCAAACTTACCGCGAGCTGTGCTGATGTCAGGCTGGCTGTCGTGTGGCAAATGTACCCGGAATGCCCAGAAACGACCAAGACGGCAGAATATGCGAGCCGCGGATTGGGCGCGATAAGACTAGAAAGCTTGTTTTGGACGCACCTGTTAAATGGCTATATGTATGTGGCGTGCCGCAACCAAATGACGCGGTGTTGCTTTCGTTGAGTTCTGGGAGGAAGTTTATGTGAAACTGCGTTCAGTGAGCAGCAGCAGCAATAATCATGCATTAACGACTTACGTGGTACACGTAGTTTGGGAAGAGATAACCTCGGGAACCTCGCGCGAACATTGCCACGAAGTGCACTCTTACTTTTGCCTAAACAGCCTGAAGAGCCCATCGTTCATGCTCCGAATGCGGCAAAGGCGGGGGAGGAAATCCAGGCCAATAAAACCATTTTTGCTGTTGAAGAGCTCCAAAAACCGTACAACACCGATGATAAGCATGCTTTTATTGGCTGGTGACATGACACAGAGGCTGCTCACGATTACAAAAGCTTAGACATTGCTTCCGCTTATGTATTCTCATTCGTTACATCCGTAGTAGTAATACTAGTGTCTATTTGACACACGTGCAATTTGCAAACTGACATTACTAGTAGCCATCCAAGAAAAAAATAAAATACACTTTCGTAGCTGCAAGACGCTCAGCTGTCTAACATTTTTTCCTCCGACCGAACGCCTCTTTCTCTCCACGATCCTTTCCCCCACCATGGAGGGATTGACGATATAATTCCCCACCATACACAGAGTCACAGTCCTCACGCATTCAACCCCACACTATACTCTGCGTGGCGACGAACGCATCACGTGTCGGTGTGATCGCGGAGCGTTCGTCGCTCCAATACGCGGATTAATATGCACAAAGGAACCGTAGCGTCTTCTGCAAGCGGGGGTCAGGTTTGAGCGCCTCGAACACGGCAAGGGGGAGCGGGACACGGCCACTTCGACCCCAGCCTTTGAGATTAGTGGGGAATCATCCCCCCCGGATTGTCTTTTCCACTAGTAGTAGAGGTGCAGCGACGTCTTGGCATTCGGTGTCCGATGATTAGTAGTAGTCTGATTCCGCAAGCCGCCCATCCACCCGGTTGTGTGTGTGAGTGGGCAGAGGAAGGGGAGTGCAGTATGGGGCCTTGGCAGGTTCCAAGACGGACATTCACTTCCTCCACTAATCCCACTGCAAGCTTTCCGCCGTGCCAAGTGCTAAGCATCACCGTGCACCCTCAATTTGAAGGGATTGCACGGCAATTCGATGATGCTTAAGCTTATTTGCCCAGACGACACCAATGCAGCTTTGGTCCCTCGCCTTGCCTACTCGGTCTCTAGATTGGAGGGAGGATATGGGATATCGGTTAGAAGGGAGCGTGGAGGCGTCGCTCGTGTTGGGCCACCATGGGATCCGGTCCTGGGGAAGAGACCAGCAGTCTGGGGTTGCTACAGTTAGTCTGGGTTTGTGCCCTATGGACCAACGGGCGCGCCCCCCTCCCCGTCCAAGAGGAAGGATTTGTGCAAAGCCCGCGGCATCTTGCAACGCTGTTTTTACCCCGGTGTTGAGGAGCGAGCTAATGATGCCAGGATAGCGCATGGACCGCATATCCTGTGCTGGTTTATATAGTGAGGCCATGCACGCATCTCACCGGGGGTTTTCTTGATCGTTTACCCTGTGCTGTGGAGACTTTGTTGATCTCCTCTTGACCTCTTACCGGCCTCGTTTGCATTGAACGTTTTGGGTCAGGATAGAGTGTGGGTTGATAAGATCAAGACGTCTATATCACCATCTGCCCTGATTGACGACCATTGCACACCACCACCATCCATCCATCATGGATCCCTCCGACACTCCCCCATCTGCGGGCGCCAGGTTCATCCGCATGATTGTCAAGAACGACTCCATCAAGTCTGATCCCCATCAGATCTACGGGTGGCGTGCCTTTGCCATGGCGGGCTCTGCTTGCTTCGGTGGCATGTTGTTTGGTTTCGATATCGGAACAATTGGAGGTGTGCTTGAACTAAAGGAGTTCCAACAGTAAGTTGCCATCCTCGACAATATTTACTTTCTTGGTGCCGTCGAAAAGGCTAACATGGATGAATAGAAAGTACAAGATTGAGGGTCTCGACAAAGTCGGCAAGGCCAACTTGAGCGCCAACATTGCTTCGACCCTTCAAGCTGGATGCTTCCTCGGTTGCTTCATCGCCTCCTGGGCCGCTGACCGCTGGGGTCGTAAGATCGCACTCCAAGCAGCTGGTCTCATCACCATTGTCGGTTGCGTAATCCAAGCCGTTGCCTCGGGTGCCCTCGGGGCCATGTACGTGGGTCGCTTCATCGCTGGTCTTGGTGTCGGAGGTGCATCCATGGTCGTCCCTCTATACATTTCCGAAAACGCTCCCCGTGGTATCCGTGGAGGTCTTACCGGTCTCTACCAGCTCTTCATTGCCACTGGAATCTCGCTCGCCTTCTGGGTAAACTACGGGTCGCTCCTGCACCTCTCTGGTGGCGCCCAAGTCTACATTGTCCCGCTCGCCATGCAAGCACTTCCCGCCGTCCTCCTCGTCGGCTGCATGGCCATGAACAAAGAATCTCCCCGTTTCCTCGCCAAGCAAGATAAGTGGGAACAAGCCACCACTGTCCTGGCACGCGTCCGCAACCTACCTCTCTCGCACCCTTACGTCCAGGACGAAATCAAGGACATTTCCGATCAGCTCGAGCACGAGCGCATGCTGATTGCCGGAGCAACCATGAAGGATCTCCTCAAGGAGATGTTTACCATCCCCGGTAACCGCAAACGCGCTCTCATCTCCATTGGTCTCATGGTCTGTCAGCAGATGACGGGCACAAATGCAATCAACTACTATGCCCCGCAAATCTTCAAGGCACTCGGCCTCCAGGGTAACGAGAACAAGCTCTTCGCTACGGGAATCTACGGTATTGTCAAGATGGTCGGATGTCTCGCTTTCCTCATCTTCGCTGCTGACTCGCTTGGTCGCCGTCGCTCGCTTCTCTGGACTTCGATTGCTCAGGGTATGGCCATGTTCTACATTGGTCTCTACATGCGCATCGACCCGCCAGTCGAAGGCCAGTCTGTTCCTGGTGCTGGATACTTTGCGCTTGTCTGCGTCTTCCTCTACGCCTGCTTCTTCCAGTTCGGTTGGGGCCCCGTGTGCTGGATCTATGTCTCTGAGATCCCCACTGCTCGCCTTCGATCGCTCAATGTCGCTATTGCTGCGGCTGTCCAATGGCTATTCAACTTTGTTGTTGCTCGTGCTACCCCTAATATGATTGCTACCATGGGCGAGGGTGGCTATGGGTACGTTTTTCTCTTGTCATTACAATATATTCCTGTGCTAACCCGATTGTTAGGTGCTTCCTTCTCTACGGATCTTTCTGTTTCAGCATGTTCCTCTTCGTATGGTTCTTCGTGCCTGAGACCAAGGGATTGTCGCTCGAGAAGATGGACGACTTGTTTGGTGTTACGGAGCTGGTCAAGAACATGGAGGCCGATGGCGAGCGCCACATGCGTAGCTCGATGGACAAGAACTCTACCATTGTCCAAGAAGAGAAGGTCCAGCGATAAACAGATGGACGTATGATTGATTTTTAATGAGTGTTTCGAGCTTGAAGCATGGTTTGGTTATCGCTGTTTGGCATAAGGATATACCAATCAAGTTATTAGCTTCGTGCCATCCCTTGCACAAACAGCTCCATGCTGATTGAGTACCTAATGATTTTTTTGCTGATGTGCTTCAAAGACTCACGGTGCGCCAAGAATACAGCGTGAAGATTGCAAAAAAAATAAATGTTGGAAGTGTGCTCATGTGCACTTTAACGATACAAGCTAAATGATGAACTCAGCCTAGCATCATGTTCAAAATATAACAAAACTCATCAACGCCGAATACGTCATCCTAGAGAGACAGAATTAAGGACATCCGCCCCCAAGGAGAAAAATGTGCAAGCAGCGCTTAAGCAATGTCCTTGACGGGATTCTCGTCCTCGTCAAGAATGCCCTTCTTGACCAGCTCTTCCGGACTTGGCCTGTTCTGGAGGCCCTTCTCCAGGTTATCAGCCCGCATGTGCATTTCCAATTCCTTCTGGTGGCCCTGGAGGGCAGGCGCTGCTGTCGAGTTGGGCAGAATGTTGCGGTCGACGAGCTCGGCTCTCTCGGGACGGGCGTTGAGGCCGCGCTTGAGGTTGTCTGTTGCGCGCTGTCGCTCGAGTTCGAGGGCTTTGGCCTGGAGGGCACTGTAGAATAGGCGCATGTTAGCTGTTATGTCAAAGCGTAATTGAGCTTGGCGTGGAATAGTGGGGATCTAGGCGCAGATGCGGGGAGAGGCGTACGGAGCTGTTGTGGTGTCTAGCAGAATGTGCCTGTTCTTGAGGTCTTGGGGTTCCGGACGGTGCTGCAGGTGCTTCTCCAGACTGTTGCGCCTTTCCGAGGAACGAACAGGCGAGATGGACGTCTCGTCGATAAAGTCGGTGTTCTCGGATGCCATGATGGTGGTAGTAGTAGTGGTGATACGATGATGTCAGAGTGACTAGCGACTTTCAGATGGTGGGGGGTTGTGAGTAAGTTGGTGGTGTGATAGTGAATAGTATGAGCAGTGGGGAACGCAGATGTAGGCGATCAAAAGGCTCTGCAGCTGTCGGGGTACTTAAAAGGGGAGCTCACAGGCAAGCCATAAGGGAGGGGAGAAGTAGCTTGCTGCCCGCGGCCTTGGTTGCGGGGCAGCCGCCTGCTTGATCCCTGCGTATCCACACTGCCCAACACCAGGGTCAGGCGCCTACCGTCATCTTGCATCGAGTGAGACTGAGACCACCGTGGTGCCATCCCACCACCGCCGTGATCCTCGCTGCGGCTGACTGCGGCCATGCCCGTGCACTGAGGCAATAGGGATTGCATGCGCATGCGACTTGGTCTTTTGCTTTTGAGGCACTCAGTCTCGACAAGTGACGTGGGGGGGCCAGTATGCGCATGCATCAGGCACTATGTTTGGGGACGGCTTCTGATCAACACTCATAATGCGCGTGGCACATGTAACAGGCTAGCCAGCATCCACATCCCGCTTTCTGTTTCGACTTGCCTTGACACGGGAGAAAATAGAAACACTCCCTTCTGGTATCAAACTGAAGGAAATTAAGAAGAAAAGAAAAAAGAAATCAATGCTTTGACACAGTCTCTAGCTTCCCATTCACACAAGTCTGTAACGTCTTGATAGACGCCCTGTGCAATGCTGAGGCAGCATCTTGTATCTGACTAGCCATACATGTCTCTGCTGCCTGGGACCAGACCATCACTTGGAGCAAGCTTACAGCAACGTACTTTGCAAGAATCACATGGCCAACCCCATATCCGTAGTATGACAACAGCAACGGCAGTGTAGAGATCACCATCAAGTCAAAGCAGTATCAGCCACAATAAATTAGACCAAATCATTTTCTCATTAAATGTGGACAGACCACGCTACAAACTACCCGTCCCATGATTATCCGCGAGCCTTCGATTCCGTTGACGACAGGCTTGACCACTGAAGAGAGATGCTATCGAAAAGAATATGAGGAACATATACCGCCGAGCTTATTTTTTGGATCATCGAACCTGGTTCAGGTCCTCGTGAACTTGCACTTGAGGCGAACCATGCTTGTCTGAGCAATCTTGTGGAAGTTGCTGGAAGTATCTACGATTGACAGTATGCGCTTAGGCACCGTCGTCCTCACCGATGCGGATAGCACCATCGCGGCTGAGACCGTTGGCCCAGAAGCCGTTGAGCTCAGCGTCGCTCTCACGCATGTTGGAGTGGACAATGAGGAGCCAGGCACCGAAGACGGCCTTGGCGAGAACGTCGAGAATGGCGTAGACAATGATCTCAGTATCAACGCTGACCTTGCGGGCACCGTCGGCAATACCCCAGACACTGTATAGTATTAGTATGAAGTGGGGTGCTTGAGCAGGACAGTAGGCACTTACATGGGGTAGGCAGTCCAGAGAATGGCGGTGTAGACAGAGATGGAGACAAAGAAGCCGCGGAGCTTCTCGCCCTTGGCGCTGGCGTTGGCTCCACCGTTGAGACCCAAGTGCCAGAAGACAAAGATGAAGGAAATGCAGGAGATGGTGTACCAGCCCCACTTCTGAGGAGTGTCCTCGGTGCCGAAAGCAGCGAAGAGACCGGTGAGAACCATGAAAATATCGGCAACAATCATCATGATCAGGTGTCCACCGGCCATGCCAGCAAGGAGACCAAGGTCGAGGAGCAGGAGAGGAGTGGTGATGGTCCAGTCGACGTAACGGGCCCAGTAGACCTCACGGTAGGTGGTGGTGAAAGTGTCGGGAACGTGGTCGTGCTGCTCACGCTCAACAATCTTGGTCAGAGCAACACCGTGGGCGGTGGCCATGGCGAAGTATGAGAGGGCAGCAGTCAGGGTGATGATGGTGGTGACGACATGGTAGAGACGCTTGTTCTGTGCATGTGTTAGACATGATGTTGGTGGGGAATTGAGTCGGTAGCTCTGCAGTGCCCCCAGTTGCTATGTGGCATGGCAATCGAGGCCGTACAAGGCTAGTCTGACGGGTTACAACGTACCAAGGGGACATTCCACGACATGAGAGTGAAAGCACCAGAGGCAATCAACATGATGGCAAAGACAACCCAGAGGACCTTCTGGCCAGCATTGCCGGCAACCTGGTAGATAGGATCGCTCCCAGGAACGACAGAGGGGATGGGTGCAACAGAGGCAGCAGCTGGAATGGCTGCCGTCCGCAAGACTTCCTCAAACTTGTCGACGATCATGATGGACGGTGTTCTTGGTCGTTGGGGTTGGGATTGGAATTGGACAAATTCACAGAAACCTGTCTGTGGTGGAGGATGGCCGGTAGGTGAGAGGACGGTGGGATTGAGTGACGGCAAGAGATGAGGCAGAGTTATAAAGAGGAGAAGGCAGGCAGCTACACGGTCACCTGTTGGAGCTGCGGCAGAAGCTGTCCAAATCGGGAGTCGAGACGTCATCGCCCCTCACGGTGGGCCGCTACGATTGGCTCCCGCTCTGTGCGGGTTATGTGCACAGGGATGCGCGAACACCAGCCTTGCATCTCTACGTTTGGCATGAGGGGCTGGCTGGCGGGCAAAGACGCTCGCCCGGCTGCTAGTAGTGGTACGTAAGTAGATAGGTAGGTAGTGCTTGACACGTTGTCGAGCTATTGGCAAGACAGCGCCCGCCAACACCCTCTACACCTGCCACAACATGGCCAGACAGTGAGCAGCTTGCCCTCAGTCTCACTCGCCCACACAGCAAGGCAGGTATACTTTGGTACATCATCGATGCAGCATGCCGCCAAGCAGCGCAGCCATGTTACCCCACAGCGCATTGTCTGTGTGCGTGTGCGTGCAAGCCATTCCATCGGTTGCCCGGGCGTCCATGCCCCCTCACGAAACCGGTTTCATGTACCGCCGATGGGGATTAACTTTTCGATGAGCCTGCGTACTCTGCCTTGCCAATCGTCTCAACATCCGCCCTCGATCGCCTCGATGATTCCTTGTGTCCTGCCATCGCCGCCCAGGTGCCGTCGTTGTGACTTGCAAGGCCTGCCCTGGCTATCAGCCTATTAGTCGTCGCAATCCCCGCAGTCTTCCCCGATTGCCAATGTACTGTTGCTGCTCCTCGCGCTGGCTCGACGTGGTGTGATTTGCTCGATACTCCATGTACATTGTGTACATGTGAGCGCTGCTCAAGCAGAAGCGCCGAGCAAGCTCCGAAATGCGGGTACCCTGGTGCACCATCAACCTCCTCACATCTCATTCCATCTTACCCTAGACTTCGAACCATCTGCACATCTACCCGCTAGACTCCGGCCTTTCCGGCGATGGCGCAAAATAAAAAAGAAACAAGGCTGTCGTGTAGATGTATCAAAAGAGGAGTACATTCCCACTGGGATCCCCTTTGGCCACGCAGATCAATACCGGCCACAAACCGCCCATGTGCATCTACATACATAGACGCAAACCATCACCATGTCCCATGTACGTGTTCGACAGCAATTTTCGTTACTGCACAGTACGAACAAGCAATATGCAAACCAGCAGCATGGCGACTACTAAATAGTACTTACTGCAACGTCCTGCCGTTCGGTCCGCCTGCTCGGTGCGAGAGCCAAATGTGGGTGCGCCGGCGGAGAAGGTTCATGAGTATAAAAATCTGTTCCAGGAGTGGGCCTGTTGAGCCATCTCCAAAAATACAGAAAGAGCATGATTGCTGACTAACATCGTGGCTACCTCGCTGTGGCTGGAGGATATAGCTGCGCCACTTTCCTCACCACCATCTAATCAGGGTCCTTGCGCACGTTGTGCAACCAGAGTTCTGACTCCCACAGTACCATGATAACCTTTTTACGTATCCCGGAGGAGATTGAAGGCAGTGCGCCCATGAATTGCGTGGGATGCTCGACGCCACAGCGGCGCGTGTATGGTGTTGGAATGACATTCTTCTCCCTAGCGGCCCATCAAGGTCCTCACGTTTGCGTACTTACGGTATTGTGGTCCGCCTCGGTGCCGCGTTTCTCCAGCTACTAAGCCTTGATAAGAAACCTCAAGCATCTTCGTATCGCCATCACGGTGCTTGGTTTTCCAACCAGAATTCATATATAGTGCTTGTCGCTTCCAAAGACCGACAAGATATACATTGCCGAGCCCTTACCGAGCCTTGGTGCATAATCAAGCTCATCTCTCTTCCTCGCGACAGTTTTTGGTCACTGGCAGCCATTCTAATTTGAGTACATCGACTTTTTTTGGTGACTTTCTCGCTTGTATACTACATTACACGTTCTCCGACCCATCTCTCCTAACATTCATTTACCTATTTGGACGGCCGTATCTCAAGCCTCATTCAGCATCCAAAACACAGTACCATGTCTTCCTGTGAAGGCTCCAACGAATATGACGGGCGCATGGGTGTCCGCATTTCGTCCATTTTCGTCATCCTTGTGGCATCTACCTTTGGTCAGTTTGTCAAAGATGTTTGCAAGTCCAATAACGCTAACGACACGCAGGTGCCGTTTTCCCAGTGATGGCAAAACGTAGTAGACACAAACTGGTGCCAAACTGGGTCTTCTTCATTGCAAAATATTTCGGATCCGGAGTCATCATTGCGACTGCATTTATCCACCTTCTTGCACCAGCAAACGAAGCACTAGGCAACGAATGCTTGACTGGTGTCATCGCCAAATACCCTTGGCCAGAAGGCATCGCCCTTATGACCATCTTTCTCATGTTCTTCCTCGAGCTCATGACGATGCGCTACGGCAACTTTGGCAGCGGTCACCAACACGACGCCAGCCACACTCATGCAGCCATCCCGCAATCCAAGGTTAGTAGCAACAACAGTGTGGAAGAGAGCAAAGGCCACGACATTGAAGCCGCCGCTCGCAACCCCAGCATTCGCGGCAACGATCACCTCGGTCACCAGCGCCAACATAATGCCAGCGGCGAGTACAAATCCGACGACCACGAGCACCACGGTTTCGTCCCCAATGAATACGCTGCCCAGCTCACCGCCATCTTCATCCTCGAATTCGGCGTCATTTTCCATTCCATCTTCATCGGACTCACCCTCGCCGTCGCGGGCGACGAATTCACCACGCTCTACATCGTGCTAGTCTTCCACCAAATGTTCGAGGGCCTCGGTCTGGGCTCCCGTCTCGCCGAAGTCTCCTGGCCCGCTTCCAAGCGCTGGACCCCTTACTTTCTCGGCATCGGCTACGGTCTCTCCACCCCGATTGCTATTGCCATTGGTCTGGGTGTCCGCCAGTCGTTTGCTCCAGAGTCCCGTACTACGCTTCTCTCCAATGGCATTTTTGATTCTATCAGTGCGGGTATCTTGATTTATACCGGTCTGGTGGAGCTCATGGCGCATGAGTTTATGTTTAGCCCGTACATGCAGAATGGGCCTGTTAGTCGGACGCTCAAGGCGTTTGGGCTTATGACGCTTGGTGCTGGTAAGTTTACCTTCTTTGAATTTCGAGCACGGCAGTTTGCTAATATTTTGACTAGGTTTGATGGCTCTTCTCGGTTACTGGGCTTAGGCTTTCCTCTGCCAGGCTTTTTCCTTGTTTTCTACTTAATTGTTCAATGTGCATGGGAGGTATCGTTGGTCTCATTGCATTATTTTGATATTATTTTTTTTGGTATACCCATAGATCAGGCCAGCTATCCTGGTCCCATATTTTCATGTGGCTGTAAGATAGACGTATACTAACTGAACATGGAATGAGAATGATACTATGACCCCTAGTTGCACCCGTGCACCTTAGTGATGTTGACTGAGAGTAGTAAACCTTGCTTGTTTCAAACATCACACATGAACACCCAATTGTATGCACAATACTTTGTATTTCCCCAAACCTATATACTTGCCTAAAACCAAAAGAATAAATAATAATGTGGAGGGGTTCTGAGATCCATAAAAAGATCATCACTGTAGAGTAAGGGGTATCATAAAACCGCAGCACACGAAGTTTCGAAGCCAGGCAAAAAAGCACGGCGAAGGCGCACGCCTATTTATAGACCAAAATATGCAACAAACAAACGAAGATGACGACGCTCGTCATCTTCTTCGCCACCCCTTTTTCCTTTTTTCTTTCCGTCCATCGCCACGTGAACATGGTCTTGAGTCTATGCTGACGTATTTTGGATGAACGGGCAAAGGATAATAATGGGCAGGCCGTATTTCAGACATTAAGGCGGACGAAGAAAGGCGGCCAGAGAGAAAAAGAAAAAGGGAAAGGGACCCTTGCGGGTCGAATTTTTTTGTCTTTCTCGAGAGACAGAATAGAAGAAGAGTAGAATGATATGCTTAGGGCGGCCGTATAGGTGCAACAGAAAAAAGCAAAACAAAGGAAACAGTCGTAGGACGTCGAAATCGCATTCGACGTGATATGCCAATTTACGCCAAGGGGGTAATACAGACCTGTATCCTTTCTAGTTGATAAACGCCAAGTTTGAATGCGACCAAAATGTAGTGGGGTATGTACGCGTCTATGCGCAGTGACAAGGAGAAGAAAATAAGTAGTGGATAACCAGTTTTTCCTTTACGATGCTTCCAAAGCATCGATGGAGGCGTGGAGATGCCTGATGCGCTCCTCAAAGGGAGAGCCGAGTGGTGCGAGATCCTCTTGAGGCTTCAGGCTTGAGTCTCGGTATGATACCCACTGGCCAGGGAGCTTGGGACGAAACTCTTTGACGGGGCTGGTAGATTTACCTTGGCTGTCTACGCTGGAAGACGTTGCTGTGGAATCTTTGTTACTCTGCCGGATGTGTTCTGATCCGTCAAAATGCACCCCGCTGTCACGATCAACCACACGGCTAGTTTCTGGGAAGAATGGCGAGTCTAACGCATCCATGGTGTTTTGCAGCGGATTCCAAGGACTCAGAAGACCCCTAGATTCCTCAGCGTCAGTGGCTTCGTTGTCATCTTCTGAAATGAGTACACGGCCGCCTAGCTTGACATCGCTAACGTTGACCTTGTACTCTAGTGCCTTCTGGCCGTCTTTAATCAGCTGCTCTGTCCATCCCAAGCACTTTCTCAAGCTCTGGTTCATCTTTTGGCTGTCGTTTAGCATCTCACGATGCTTCGAGAGATCAAGCTGGAGGCGCTTCTGATCTCGCGAACGATGCACTTCATCCCGCTCTAGTTGAGCACTAGGACTCAATGCACTATCATCGAGTGAAGAATCGCTGCTCTCAGGTTCCTCCTCCTCCTCTTCCTCCTCCTCTTCATCTCCAGGCATCCCTTCCTCTTCGGACATATCCGAAAGATCCCCTAGACTACTAGCACCAATGACAGAGGTCTCGTCATGCGAGCTAATGGCGTCTGCAGAGAAGTGTCCAGCTCGACTCATACGGCGGAAGCGCCTGATCTCAGCCTTTTGCTTGCGCACCTCTTTCTCCAGAGACCTGTTGATGGCAAGAAGCGACGAGTTGCTGATTTCGAGATCCAGCACTTTTCGTTCTCTTCGTGCATTTGCTGCAAGTTCATTCATAACCTCTAGCGCACTCTTCGTGTCGTTGCCTCTTGTCGGACTTTCTGATTTGGGAGAATTAAGCGGGGAGAAGGCGGTGTAGCGCGGAGAGGCTGAAGCGGGGTTGTCAGGCGGGGATGCATTGCCAGCGACACTCTTTTCGGTATGTAGTGGGCTTGGAGTCATGGCGGGGGCCTCATGGGCCGATGCCTTCCTTAGGCTGGTCACTGAGTCAATGGAGGAGAGACTGGAACTTTTGGCATGCCCTCCTCGTTTGATCATCGAAGCCGTGCTTGATCTGCGTCTGTTCACATCGGAAGCGTCTGAGGTGTTTGATCCACCGATGATGGCCATGGGCGTACTGCTTGTGCTCGCTGAGGTCCCTCTGCTCAACGCTGGTCTGACCTGCGAGGCTCCTTTGCGGTACGAGAGATGTGCCCAGTCCTTGGTGGGAGAGGGCGGCCGGAGAGAGGGTCCATGGGGGGCTGTAAGTGGTGGTAGTGGCTCGGGCGATGTAGCAATGGGTGGTGGGGTGAGGATAGGCGGGCGGTCTCTCGACTCAGCAATGGAGTCTGCGTGGAAGAACTTGGATTCTGAGGGGGCTCTCCCCAGGGAAGATGAAGGAGGAGACGGGACGTTGTGGGACGGACTCTCATCTTGTCGGCCATCGGCATAAAAGAAGGTGGGCGTCTTCTTGACGGGTGCTGGGGCAGGCGCGGGTTGATCGTGCGGGCGGGCGTCATTGGCGTGGAAGAATAAGGAGGAAGTGTCTCTTCTGGATCCAGTATCGGATGGCGCGTAGTTGTACATGCTAGCTACGGGGGCCCGAGGCGTGGGCGCGGCATGACTGGTCGGTCCAGGGGTACTGCGTGGGCGTGCAGTACCTCCACTGCTCCTTCCGACAGCGCTGTGGCTGCTGCTGATGGTGCTGTGGTGGTCGCGATGGGGAAAGTCGACCGTGGAGCTCGGGCGTGAGTTTGTCGGGGTGGCATTGGGCGTCGTGGAAGCGCTGTCTACGCCGCCGCGCGACTTGCGTGACGAGGTGCGCGGCGTGACACTGGTGGTGAGGAAGGGCTTGGCGGACGTGCCGCTGTCGACTGCAGAGGCGGCGACATGAGGCCTTGTGGGAGCAGCGGTGCTGGTACGGGCAGTGCGTGTACTCGAGGAGCTGACGGTGGACGAGGCGGACGAGGCAACGGCCAGCCTCGGGGTCAAGGGCGTCTTCGCAGGAGCAGGTCGGGTACTAGCGAGCGTCGGCTTCAGCGGCCGTGGGTTATTGCGGTCGGTTCGTTCGATGGGCATTCTCCAGGGTGGCGGGGCTACAGTATGGGATGGAGGCGGCTGGTGCAGAGGGAGCTCATGGCCTGCAGGCGAGGGAAGCAATGAGCGGGAGGCGGGCCTAAGGGCGGTGTTGACGATGGTTGTTGATGGTTGCCGCTAGCTGGCGTGTCGGGTGTCTACAGGGTCACGACAGCCTCAGATTTACGTGTAAGGCCCCACTTCTACAGTGGCAGCGGGTGAGGATGTAGATTGATTGGTGTTGAGCCCATGGTCAGCCGGGCGTGAACAGCAGCAAAAGAGGGGGCGTTCTGGCTCCGCTTCTGCGTCTGCTTCTGCACTGAGATGAACGACATCTGGCGGCCCTGAAAGGCCCTCAAGGTTGCACGACACGCTAGGCCCCAATCAGCACAAGTGGCCAGGCGCGTCATGGCCACCCGACGCCCTCCCTACTCACCTCGCGTCTTAGCGGCGCCCCCGTCCTTTTCGCCCTCCCGCCAAAATGACTCCCCACTTAATATCATGAGCAATGCTGAGCGGTGCAGGGTCGGCCCCTTCACCGACACCACATCATCATCTCATCTTGCCGCTGCCGACCCCCAGCATGGCCCTGGCCCCGGCGTCCACCACGAGGCCTCATCCACCATGACCACTCGACCCTCTCCCGAGCGTCCGCTGCCTGCACGCACGCCCTCGACCGAGCACGAGTCTCTCAAGTACCATCTGCTCGGCCCCTCGCTCACCAAGGCAGGCCAGGACTCGGTCGACCAGTCAAAAGTCTCGGACATCATATACAACGCTTCAAAGGGCTCCAAGTTCTTCAACAATGAAGAGGCCAAGGACAAGAACCTCACAGACAAGATCGAGAAGATCCTGGCCAAGAGGCGCCACCTCGACAAGCTCGACTTGACCTCCGACTTGCGTAAAGCCGACGACTACATCGCCGAGCTGGAGCTGAGCAGGGATCTGACTCAGATCGTCGTCCATCTCGACTGCGATGCCTTCTATGCCGCCGTTGAGGAGCTTGATAGACCGGAGCTCAAGGACGTTCCTTTTGCCGTGGGAAAGGGCGTGTTGACAACGTGCAACTACCACGCGAGGAAGTTTGGTTGCCGCTCGGGAATGGCAGGCTTTGTCGCCATGAAGCTTTGTCCACAGCTTATTTGCGTGCCCATGAATTTCCAAAAGTACATGGCCAAGGCAGAGGAGGTCCGTCAGGTGCTGGCGCTGTATGATCCCAACTTTGAGAACGCCAGCTGCGACGAGGCCTACCTCAACCTTACGAAATACTGCAACGAGCATCACATGACTGGCGAGGAAGCTGTCAGCCAGATGCGTGCCGATGTCTACGAAAAGGCCAAGATTACCGTATCTGCTGGTATTGCCGCCAATGCAAAGCTTGCCAAGATTTGCTCCAATATAAACAAGCCCAACGGACAATTCTTGCTTCCTAGTGACAGACAGACCATCATGGAATTCATGAAGACACTGCCCACGCGAAAAGTCAACGGTATTGGCCGTGTCTTTGAACGAGAGCTAGATGCTATAGGCGTGAAGACATGCGGCGACATCTACGCCCACAGAGCGTGCCTGGCAAAACTCTTTGGCCAGAAGGCATTTCAATTCCTCATGCAATGCTACCTGGGTCTTGGACGCACTGTCATCAAACGGGCGGAAGACTACGAGCGGAAAAGCGTTGGCACTGAAACCACCTTCAAAGAGTTACAGTCCCCAGATGCTCTGCGCGAGAAGCTTCGTTTCGTAGCTGAAGAGCTGGAAGGTGACCTCAAGCGCACTGAATACAAAGGCAGGACCCTCTGCATCAAGATCAAACTTCACACGTACGAAGTGCATACGCGACAAACCACGCCGCCGTTTGCCGTCCACAAAGCAGAAGACTTGTACAAGTATAGCCTGCCAATGCTGGAGAAGCTCATGAAGGAAATCCCAAACATGCGGTTGCGACTGATGGGTCTACGAGTCACACATATCA